TAGAGCAGATACACATAACAAATATGGCAATGATTCTAAAGGTCTACTCAATCTAGATGCAAATGCATAAGTTATGAAAAAGTGTGTTGATTCGGAGTCGATTAATACAAAAGCATCCTGGTTGCATATAGAGATGGTACCTGAGACAATAACTTCTGTGTTCCGTGTATCACCCGGAACAAGTGCAAAGACTCTCCTTTGCCTCACAGTGTCTCCGATGGTAATAGGCCTTGTAGTGTTTCCCGGCTTCAGGATCGATGCAGTTGAGCTAGCAGCTAACTTTCCACTATTTTGGTTACAATCCCTGGCCATATGCCCTGTTTTACCACACTTAAAACAAGCCCCTGATACACAGTAGTAAACCCTGCGATGTCTTTTACCACATTGGTTGCACATTGGAGACATATCTCTGGAAGAATTTGAAGTGCTTGAGGAGCTCGTATTCTGTTTCTTTGAAAGCCTTTTCTTTGAAAAGAAGCCCTGTCTCTTACTTTTCTAATCAGCTAATGATTTGCTCTGCCTGGATATGTTAGCTTCTAATATTATGGCCTGGTCTAATACATTAATATAGGTTTCCAGCTTTAATACATTCGCCTTCTCTAAGATATCATCTCGAAGACCTTCTTCAAAGTGTCTCGCTTTCTTATAGTCGGTGTCGAACATATGTGGTGCAAATCTGGCCAATTCAGTAAACTTAGCCTCGTACTCAGCTACTGACATGTTGTTTTGCTTAAGTTCCATGAACTCCGACACTTTCCTGTCACGAACACACTGTGAAAAGTATTTTTAGTAGAAAATTTTCAAGAACCGTGCCTAGCCAATATCGTTATTGCTTTTATGCATCAACATCCACCACCTTCTCGCCTCATCTTCAAGTATAAAAGTGGCTAACAATACTTTCTGTGTTTCTAAAAAAGGAAACACTTCAAATAACTGTTCTATGCCAAGGACCCACGCTTCAGCCTTCAGTGGATCCAATCCCCCATGAAACTGTGGTGGTTTCATTTTCTTAAACTCTTTGATGAGTGCTATTGTTCGGTCATCATTTTGTGGATTTTGCAAAAGCGGCACTGGAGGCGGAGGATGTGGTTGTTGCCACTATTTTTGCCATTGTTGTTGTTGCCTCAATGTTTTTGCCATATCTTATATCAATCTTTCCATCCTATCCATTCTGGCAGTAGAGGACTCCTCTAACTCATCACCTCTTGTTCTCACCGTTATCTGATTAAACTTGCATTATTTTTTATACAAAAATGTTCACAAGTACGCATATATAAAAGAGTATACGTATTCAAATAATTCACAATGCAAGTATCACAAAGCATATATAAGCATATTCTCGATGTCTTCAAGTTCATAATTATCACATGAATGCATCCTAGATCTTTTCTAGATGCTTATTGCTCATTTGGATAAGGGTGTGAGTTATTAACTCGTGCTCTGCTACCACTCTGTCATGATCCGAACCCGCCCCTATGGATTAAGGTCTTAACCGGCCAGTAATTAAGGAATTACCTGCGGCCTCAATGCTGATTAAACATATTTCAATAGAAATAAGGGGCCAAACGGAAGCAGATTTAAAAATTTTGTTTAATGAGCTGTGCTTACATGGCCAAGCAAAACATTCCATAAGTAGTCCATAATAACACACACATATAAATAGAGTTAACATCTTATACATCTAGGAACTTTCAGATATGCAGTCAACCAAACAAAAAGCTTATGCATCAAGATAGCAAAAAGGGTAAACAAAAGAATAAAAACAAAGTCTCGTGCGTGAAACATTCGGGCTGACTCCACAGGACTTGACTACCTCTCACTTTCTTCACTGAGGCTGAGTTTGGACATCTCTTTGCTCACCTACATTCATATAAATGAGAATGAGCGAAAGCCCACCAAATAACATCAAAATAAGGAAGTTACATGAATGTAATTCGTAACAGATATAATGGACGGCCTTATGCCCTTTTATGTTTCTATCTAATACATCAAACGGCCTCAAGCCCAAGCATATCAAATGGCCTCGGGCCTAATTCTTTCTTATGAAACAGCCTTGGGCCCAATTCATTCATGTTAAACGACCTTTGGCCCAATCATTCATGTCAAATGGCCTTTGGCCCAATCATTCGTGTCAAACGGTCTTTGGCCCAATCATTCGTGTCAAACGGTCTTTGGCCCAATCATTCGTGTCAAACGGTCTTTGGCCCAATCATTCGTGTCAAACGGTCTTTGGCCCAATCATTCGTGTCAAACGGTCTTTGGCCCAATCATTCGTGTCAAACGGTCTTTGGCCCAATCATTCATGTCAAACGGCCTTTGGTCCAATCATTCGTGTCAAACGGCCTTTGGCCCAATCATTTATATTTATGCGCATCTCATACTTGAGATCATAAGCATATCATAATCATAATCATATTCCAATGGTCTTATTCAATCATTAGCATAACGAATATTCAATTCAAATTAACAAATCCGTAGAATTCATACAAAAATGAGCATTTGAAAGGTAGCATACTTCAACACATTCTTACTAAGATATTACTCATAGTGTTCTGCCAATAGATTTTCCCTTGCATTTGACCCTACACATTTCATAACACATTGGTTCACAAGCGATTCAATCCGTTTTTAATTTATTTATTTCCCTTAGGCCTCTTTCTTATCCTTTTAGTTCATTTATAATGCTCTATGCATGCCTAGGAGTGCTTAGAAATGAAAGAGAATGGAAAACAAAGCATAAAGTAACTTTTCAAAGTTTCTGAAACAGGACTCTCTACTCGAGCGCATATTTTCCCGCTCGAGCGAATCCCTTTGGTTTGCAAAAGTACTGGTTGCCTCATTTTTGTGCTTGAGAGTGACTTTGGTCACTCAAGCTAAGAATCAAAACATGTGAGTGGGCGCTCGAGCGCTGTTATGCTCGCTTGAGCGGACACCAATGTCTGCAAAACTTCTGAGAGCTTGATTTTTACGCTCGAACGGCACTTTCCCCGCTCGAGCGAACACGACGAATTCTGGAATTTTCAACATTGCATTTGAAGCTTAAACTTGATGTTCAAGGGTTTAAAGTTTGTGTTTTCGGTACAAAAACATGGAAAGACATTACATGGCATAAGAGTATAGGTAGTTTGAGACCAATTGTCCAAAACCATGATCCAATTCTTAAATCATTTTGTATTCTTCTTGACAACTTCAAAACACATGCAACCAAGCTTCATAACTACATGGATTATGCATGCATGTGTAATATAGACTATAATACCATTTCAAATGGCACAAATGATGCTTATAATCATGAAGCTCAACAAAACTATGCTTGCATGTATTATTTGGTACACAATTTTTCATATTTAACATGCTACATGCTTGATTATGCAATTCCATGGCAACTCTCTACATGCATGGTTATATTGACTTCAAATTCATTATAATCAACTCAATTCTTGCTCTTAATTGCACATTTTGCTTGAATTCACTTAATTTTGAACTTAAACTCATGAAGTTGAGTTTAATTACTCACCTAGGAGCCCCAATCTTCCAAATTCTAGCTAGATTTGAGTGAATCTTCTCAATTTCCAAGCTTCCTACTCAATTCTCATACTTTGCCTCTTTTCTCTCTCTAGAACCGTCCATCTCTCTCTCTCTAGAGTGTGTTTCAGATTTTGAGCTCAAGAAATGAAGGGCTTAAGTATAAATAGGCCTATATATATGTTTACCTAATCAACCTTAATTAAAGTTAATTAATTGTGCCTAATTCAATCAGTTTAATCTAATTATTTTGATCCGAATCAATTTTTAATTAAATCTCACCGTAGGCTCTAAAAATCATGCTAATCGCATAAATACAGTCAATTTCAGTTTCAATTGCCTCTACGACCTTTAATTAAATTTTGAAGCAGAAAATCAAATAAATTTTCCTACGGTGAACAGATAGAAATTCAAAAAAATACATATACTTATACAAATGGCACCCAAAATCATATCAAGCACATAATCACAATCATAAATAGGATTAATTAACATAACACAGGACAGGATTATCACAATCTTCCCCTCTTTAGGAAGTTTGGTCCTCTAAACTTATTTTACCTCCATTTGGAAACAAATGTGGATAAAGTAGTCGCATCTCATCCTTTTTTTCCCATGTAGCGTCCTTCCCATAGTGTTCTTTCCATTCTACTTTCACCATTGGGATGGACTTACTTCTTAACTGATTCACTTGTCGGTCAATGATTCGTTCTGGCCATTCTTCGCATTCCATATTTTCATAAAGAGCTATCTGGTGGTAATCAATCACATGGAACGGATCTCGAAGATAGCCCCTCAACATCGATATGTGGAACACATTGTGCATTTGTTCGAATCCCGGTGGCAAAGCAACCCTATAAGCAACTGGACCAAGCCTTTCCAAAATTTGAAACGACCCAATGTAACGAGGTGACAATTTGCCAAACCTCATACTCAAGAGGTCTTCTTCGAACATCCGCATAATTCTTTTGCCGGCTCTTGAGCCTTGGTTGGATTATTTTAATCTTCTCTAAAGTGTCTTGCACAATTTCGGGCCCAAGTAAGGCTCTATCTCTGACTTCTGTCCAACAAATTGGTGATCTACACTTTCTGCCATATAAGGCTTCATATGGTGCCATACCGATGCTGGAGTGGAAGCTGTTATTGTATGTAAATTCCGCTAGTGGCAAATAGTCCTCCCAACTCCCTTGAAAATCTAAAGCACACATTCTAAGAATCTCTTCCAAGGTCTGTATTGTCCTTTTCGATTGCTCGTTTATTTGTGGATGGAACGCAGTACTGAATCTTAATTCTGTTCCTATTGCTCTTTGCAAGCTTTTCCATAATCTAGATACAAATTTTGGATCTCTATCTGTTACAATAGATACCGAAACTCTGTGCAAATGAACAATCTCATTGACATATATAGTGGCTAATCGATAAGCATCAAATGTAGTTCTAACAGGTAAAAAATATGCAGATTTAGTCAATCTATCAACTATAACCCAAACAGAATCCATACCTCTAGGAGTTCGAGGTAGACCAATAACGAAGTCCATGGTCACATGCTCCCACTTCCATTCTGGAATAGGGAGAGGTTGAAGTAGACCGCCTGGTTTTTGATGCTCACCTTTAACTTGCTGACATTGAAGGTACTTGGACACATATTCTGCGATTTCCTTCTTCATTTTAGGCCACCAATAGCTTTGCTTCAAGTCCCGATACATTTTGTTGTTACCCAGATGGATAGCAAACATCGACTTGTGAGCTTCATCTAGGATTCTCTTCTTTATCTTAGGACACATTCGATTTTGAAATCTTAACACCTCACCATCAATACTGAATTCTGATTATGGTTTGGCTTCAAATTCATCAATTATTTTCTTGAGGAACTCATCCTCTATTTTCCTTTGCTTAACTTCATTAACTATTGCTGGCTCAGCTGAAATGGCGGCTACCAATCCAACTTGTTTGTGTAACACGACTTCAATTTCGGTTCTCTCGAAATCTAGTAAGCAAGCTAAACTCCTCGTCAATTTTCTGCTCAAGGCATCAACAACTGTATTGGCTTTCCCGGGGTGATACTGAATCTGAAGATCATAATCTTTTATTAGTTCAAGCCATCTTCTTTGCCGCATATTCAACTCTTTCTGAGTAAAGAAGTACTTTAAACTATTGTGATCTGTGTAGACTTCGCAAAGTAATGCCGTCAAATTTTCAAAGCAAATACTACTATGGCCAATTCTAGGTCATGTGTTGGGTGGTTCTTCTCATGTGGCCTCAACTGTCGAAAGGCGTAAGCAGTCACCCTTCCATTCTGCATTAATACGTAACCCGAACCTTTATATGAAGCATCACTATATATCTCAAAGTTTTCCATACCTGAGGGCAATGTCAAGACTGGTGCAGTTGTTAGTCTCATCTTCAATTCTTGAAAGGTAGACTCTCTTTCATCAGTCCACTCAAATAGTTGTCTTTTGCATGTGAGTTGAGTAAGTGGTACAACTATTTTCCAAAAACCTTTCACAAACCTCCTGTAGTACCCAGCTAAGCCTATGAAACTGCGGACCTCTATTACATTTGTTGGTGTAGGCCAATTCACAATTGCCTCTATCTTCTGTGGGTCTACCGAAATCCCATTTCTGTTGATGACATGCCCTAAGAAAATGACTTCATCCAACCAAAACTCACATTTCTTTAATTTAGCAAATAATTTCTTCTCTTTAAGTGTTTGTAAGACGGTTCTCAAATGTTGTTCATGTTCAAGAATACTCTTCGAATATATCGGAATATCAACAATAAAAACTACAACAAATTCATCGAGGTAAGGCTTAAAAATTCGGTTCATAAGATCCATAAATGCTGTAGGGGCATTAGTTACTGCAAATGGCATAACAAGGAATTCATAATGACCATACCTCGTTCTGAATGCAGTTTTCTCAACATCTTCTGCCTTTACCTTCAACTGGTGGTATCTGGATCTCAAATCAATTTTTGAAAACACTTGCGAGCCCTGTAACTGATCAAACAAGTCGTCAATACGGGGTAAAGGATATTTATTCTTTATCGTTACCTTGTTGAATTCATGGTAGTCAATACACAAGCACAAGATTCCATCTTTCTTTTTCACAAACAATACCGGCGCACCCCATGGTGAAGTACTTGGTCGAATAAACCCTTTGTCAAGTAATTCTTGCAATTATTCCTTCAATTCTTTTATTTCAGTAGTAGCCATTCTGTAAGAGGTTTTTGAAATAGGCTGAGTGCCTAGCATAATATCAATAGTAAACTCTATCTCCCTGTTAACCAATTCTCCTAGCAATTCATCCGAGAATACATCTGGAAACTCGCTAACAATAGGAATACTATTCAATTCAACATTCACAGATTATTCAGTCAATACACAACATAAGTAACCTTGGCACCCTTTCCTGATTAATTTACATGCTTTCATTACAGATATCAAATAAGGTGGAGGCACTGCCCTGTTACCCATAAATACAATTTCTTCCTGCCCCGGTGGTCTAAATACAACCCATTTCGTTACATAATTGATGGTGGCACAATACTTAGATAACTAGCCCATGCCTAGAATTACATCAAAATGTCTAAAGTCTAAGGGTAACATATCTACATATAAGGTGGCATTCCTAATACGCATATCACAAAATCGACATACAAACATACACAACACAGATTCTAGGAATGGAGCAAATACACATAACAAATATGGCAATGATTCTAGAAGTCTACTCAATCTAGATGCAAATGCATAAGTCACAAAGGAGTGTGTTGATTCGGAGTCAATTAACACAAAAGCATCCTGATTACATATAAAGATAGTACCTGAGACAACGGCTTCTATGTTCCGTGTATCGCCCGAAACAAGTGCAAAGACTCTCCTTTGCCTCACAGTGTCTCCGATGGTAATAGGCCTTGTAGTGTTTCCCGGCTTCAGGATCGATGCAGTTGAGCTAGCAGCTAACTTTCCACTATTTTGGTTACAATCCCTGGCCATATGCCCTGTTTTACCACACTTAAAGCAGGCCCCTGATACATGATAGCAAACCCTATGATGTCTTTTACCATATTAGTTACACATTGGGGACGTGTCTCTAGAAGAATTTGAAGTGCTTGAGGAGCCCGCATTTTGTTTCTTTGAAAAGAAGCCCTGCCTTTTACTTTTCCAATCAGTTAATGATTTGGTCTGCCTAGCTATATTAGCTTCTGATATAATGGCCCGATTTAACACCTCAATATAGGTGTCTAGCTTGAGTACATTCACCTTCTCTAAGATATCATCTCGAAGACCTCCTTCAAAGTGTCTCGCTTTCTTATAGTCGGTATCGAACATATGTGGTGGAAATCTGGCCAATTCAGTAAACTTAGCCTCGTACTCAGCTACTGACATGTTGTTTTGCTTAAGTTCCATGAACTCCGACACTTTCCTGTCACGAACACACTGTGAAAAGTATTTTTAGTAGAAAATTTTCAAGAACCGTGCCTAGCCAATATCGTTATTGCTTTTATGCATCAACATCCACCACCTTCTCGCCTCATCTTTAAGTATAAAAATTGCTAACAATACTTTCTGTGTTTCTAAAAAAGGAAACACTTCAAATAACTGTTCTATGCCAAGGACCCACGCTTCAGCCTTCAGTGGATCCAATCCCCCATGAAACTGTGGTGGTTTCATTTTCTTAAACTCTTTGATGAGTGCTATTGTTCGGTCATCATTTTGTGGATTTTGCAAAAGCGGCACTGGAGGCGGAGGATGTGGTTGTTGCCACTATTTTTGCCATTGTTGTTGTTGCCTCAATGTTTTTGCCATATCCTATATCAATCTTTCCATCCTATCCATTCTGGCAGTAGAGGACTCCTCTAACTCATCACCTCTTGTTCTCACCATTATCTGATTAAACTTGCATTATTTTTTACACAAAAATGTTCACAAGTATGCATATATAAAAGAGTATACGCATTCAAATAATTCACAATGCAAGTATCACAAAGCATGTATAAGCATATTCTCGATGTCTTCAAGTTCATACTTATCACATAAATGCATCCTAGATCTTTTCTAGATGCTTATTGCTCATTTGGATAAGGGTGTGAGTTATTAACTCGTGCTCTGATACCACTCTATCATGACCCAAACCCGCCCCTACGAATTAAGGTCATAACCGGCCAGTAATTAAGAAATTACCTACGGCCTCAATGCTGATTAAACATATTTCAATAGAAATAAGGGGCCAAACGAAAGCAGATTTAAAAATTTTATTCAATAAGCTGTGCTTACATGGCCAAGCAAAACATTCCATAAGCAGTCCATAATAACACACACATATAAATAAAGTTAACATCTTATACATCTAGGAACTTTCAGATATGCAGTCAGCCAAACAAAAAGCTTATGCATCAAGATAGCAAAAAGGGTACACAAAAGAACAAAAACAAAGTCTCGTGCGTGAAACATTCGGGCTGACTCCACAAGACTTGACTACCTCTCACTTTCTTCACTGAGGCTGAGTTTGAACATCTCTTTGCTCACCTTCATACATATAAATGAGAATGAGCGAAAGCCCACCAAATAATATCAAAATAGGGAAGTTACATGAATATAATTCGTAACGGATATAATGGACGGCCTTAGGCCCTTTTATGTTTCTATCTAATACATCAAACGGCCTCAAGCCCAAGCATATCAAATGGCCTCGGGCCCAATTCCTTCTTATCAAACGGCTTTGGGCCCAATTTGTTCATGTCAAATGACCTTTGGCCCAATCGTTCATGTCAAACGGCCTTTGGCCCAATCATTCCTGTCAAACGGTCTTTGGCCCAATCATTCGTGTCAAACAGCCTTTGGTCCAATCATTCGTGTCAAACGGCCTTTGGCCCAATCATTTATATTTATGCGCATTTCATACTTGAGATCATAAGCATATCATAATCATAATCATATTCCAATGGCCTTATTCAATCATTGGCATAACGAATATTCGATTCAAATTAACAAATCGGTAGAACTCATACAGAAGTGAGCATTTGGAAAGTAGCATACTTCAACACATTCTTACTAAGATATTACTCACAGTGTTTTGCTGATAGATTTGCCCTTGCACTTGACCCTATACATTTCACAACACATTGGGTCACAAGCAATTAAATCCGTTCTTAATTTATTTATATCCCTTAGGTCTTTTTCTTATCCTTTTAGTTCATTTACAATGCTCAATGCGTGCCTAAGATTGCTTAGAAGTGAAAGAGAACGGAAAACAAAACATAAAGCAACTTTTCAAAATTTCTGAAATAGGACTCTCTGCTCGAGCGCAGATTTTCCCGCTCAAGCGAACCCCTTTGGTCTGCAAAAGTACTGGTTGCCTCATTTTTACGCTCGAGCGTGACTTTGGTTGCTCAAGCCAAGAATCAAAACATGTGAGTGGGCACTCGCGCGCAGTTATTCTCGCTCGAGCGAACGCCAATGTCTGCAAAACTTCTGGGAGCTTGATTTTTACGCTCAAGCGGCACTTTCCCCGCTCAAGCGGACACGACAAATTCTGGAATTTCCAAAACTGCATTTGAAGCTCAAACTTGATGTTCAAGGGTCCAAAGTTCGTGTTTTTGGTACAAAAACATGGAAAGACATTACATAGCATGAGAATATAGGTAATTTGAGACCAATTGTCCAAAACCATGATCCAATTCTTAAATCATTTCGTATTCTTCTTGACAACTTCAAAACACATGCAACCAAGCTTCATAACTACATGGATTATGCATGCATGTGTAATATAGACTCTAATACCATTTCAAATCGCACAAATGATGCTTATAATCATGAAGCTCAACAAAACTATGCTTGCATGTATTATTTGGTACTCAATTTTTCATATTTAACATGCTACATGCTTGATTATGCAATTCCATGGCAACTCTCTACATGCATGGTTATATTGACTTCAAATTCATTATAAACAACTCAATTCTTGCTCTTAATTGCACATCTTGCTTTGAAATGTTTTAGAAAGAGAGAAAGAGATGCTACTCAATTCTAGAGAGAGAGAGGCTCAAGATCTAGGGTTTTGAAATGTTTTAAAAAGAGAGAAGGAGATGAAAAAGTGATATAAAAAGTGGCTATTATGAACTGATATACGCACAATCCACTAGAGCGGAAGTAGTGATGCTCGAGCATTAAACACAATAAGTTGCCCCGCTCGAGCTCAAGAAGTGCTGTTCAAGCGCAGAATGCACCCTCCCAGTAGTTTTGCAGATAATAGACCAACGCTTGAGCGCAAGAAGGGCAGCTCGAACTGAGCCTGCTCGAGCACAAAAATAACTGCCCAAGCGTAGAATACACTCTCCCAGTAGTTTTGCAGACCTACAAGAGTACTGAGGATTCAAAAATCCCGCTCAAGCGCAAAAGTGCTGCTCGAGTGGAGAAGCAAAATTCTGGACAACAAAAGTTTGGTAACTAAGCAACCAATCTGTCCCAAACGCAATTACAATAACACAATTTAAAGAAATACAAGGGAAGCAAGATATGAACAGCAATACAGAACCATGAAACTCAAGTCCAAAATACAACAAGGTTCGGGTCAAAACTAAAATCGCTATAAAACCTCACTACCTGTCAATTTGTAGCGACAGATTCAGCAAATAGTCACACACAAAAAAATTTATTGACGATTCTAATAAGTCTAACTATTAGGACCTCCTGATAATTTAATTAATTTTTTATATAATTTTTCAAAAATAAATAAATTGGGTTGGTTTCAAACTCCCATTACTCGAATTTAACATGAGTAACTCAATTTTTTTATATGACAGTTATCTTTGTTTTTTGCTCTTTTTTTTTTATATATATTAAAAGTCATTTTGGAATGTTAATCAAGGTATTTATGAAGATTCAAACTTATCTATCTTACTTATTTTTGTGATGTTTTCAACTTCTAATTTTATGAATTATTCATGAATTTTTTTATTTATTTTTAATGGATATTGCCATTGTGGGTGTAGATGAAAATATGTTTTTGTTTTTATTAATAGATTAAATATATATTATTTGGAAAAATAAGTTTTGTATATACTAATAAAATAAAATCTTGTGTTTTAATCATGTAATTCAAGTCATCCTATTAGTTTTATAATCGAGTTAGTATTGATAAAATCCTGATACTAACATGACTCGACATGCATGACTCGTGTTCGAATTGTTAAAAATTAACTTGATATCGGCTCGTGAGATAAACAAGCCAAGTTTGAAAATAATTTAAAATTGATTAAGTTTGTAACCCAAGTTTGAACAAGCTATTATTCATCGCGATAAGCTTATATACATTATAAAAAAATAAAATAAAAAAATTAAACTACTACAAACTTGACTCATTATTGACTCAAATAAAATCCTCACTTGAGATTGATTCTAAAAGTAAACAAGGTAAACACATTTTGAAACTCATCAAAATAAAAAAGTTCAACTTGAACAAGCTCATACTAAACTAAGGGTCTATCTATAATCTCCTTAAATAAGTAGTTTTTTTTAATTAAAAAAGCCAAAAGCAAATAATCGATCAATCTTATACATCAATCATTCATGTTTTTCTATATAACTTGAAAAATGCATCCTAAACATATTAAATTTTTCACCTTATAAAAAAAAATTACTAAAAAAATCAAATCCCAAAAAGCCTTAACAGAGTTTTTTTTTTTAGAGGTGAGGATGAGCTTGTTAAGCATTCTCTACTGAGCGATGTTTATTACCCCCTTCCAAGAAATTTTAGTCAGATTTGGTGCTGCTTAACATTTTGTAGAGAAATCTTGCCTGATAAGTAGAGATGTAAGAAAAATCGATAAAACCAAACTAACTAATTGAAATTGACCAAAATTTAGTTTTCGGTCTGTTTTCATAATATACGGTCTATTTCGGTTTTAAAACTTTTTATACCAATGCAAATCGAGCCGACCGAATATTATATTTAAATATTTTTATATTATAATTTCTTGAACATTATATGAGAAGTAACTAATATAATACACTTTTGTGATAAAAATTAAGTAGAAAAACAATTATAGAGTAATTTTCATATATTTTCTTCATTTATTTTCAATGTAAAATTCTATAATCTACTATAAAATCTTTTAAAATTTCATGTAAATTTCTCTTTTGCATCAAACCGACAAAATCGATAAAACTGAATCGTAGCATACGGTCTGTATTAGTTTCTCAATCATAAAAATCGAAACGATCAGTTTAGTACTAAATATACTCTTAACACTGACTGAACCGTTTACACATTTATTGATTAGCCCACAAAATACAACTCTTGACGCATGAAATGAATGTACCAATCTTTATTTAATTCCATTCTAAGGCATTAATGGTTTCTCAAGTCAAATAAATAAATTAATAGAAAAATTAGTGTCTGAAAAAGTTACTTAAAAAGTTGTAGAAACAATATAAAATACATTATATAAATTTAAATGTAATGCGGTGTGAGTAACATCTCAAATAAATTTGGGTCACACAATTCAATTTGTGAATAATTTTTTTGAATAATTTTTTCAAGTTTCATAACATTGCTGTAAATTAATTATACTTACTTGAGAGAGACTAGATTCTCTGCCTCCCTCTCCTCTATTCTTTATCCCAAACCACCTCTCTAATACACATTCAGTTAGAGAAACTAGTAGTGTGGT